GGGGGCTGCGCACTCCAATGGATCAAAGCAAGTTCGATATAACGCGGTTTCACTTATAACACGGTAAGATTTTTTGGCTCCCGAGGACAGCATTATATCAAGGTAGAGGTGTACTAATCTACACGTTATAATGGCCATTCCTTATTTTATCAGCAGCCATAGAAGTTTCTTAAGACTTCAAGTATGCAAGAGTCAGTAATATTTACAAAACTAAGGAGAGGAGTAGACTTATTGCTAGAAAACAAATCCTGTATATTAACATTTTTCAGGAAAAAAAGAAACCATCACATATGACGAGTGGAACAGGAAGATTCAAGGGCACTTTGAAAAGCTGTTCTTTGTCTCTGAGAACCCAGCAGATCCTAATGAAAAACATCCAAATCTGGTTCACAAGCGTGGCATATACAAGGACAGCTATGGAGCTTCAAGTCCTTGGTGCGATTACCAGCTCAGGCCAAATTTTACTATAGCAATGGTTGTGGTGAGTGGAAAAACATGTTCATAGTCACAGCTCCTTTAACTATTTTGATTGAATTGAACTAAACTTGGGGGGATTCATTTGCATGGGGTAAACCAGGAGGGACCCATTGCTTGGAATACACTTGTATCTTTAATGGAGTAGTGGTTGTTTTTTTTTTTTTTAATAAACTTTCAGCATCAGCCCATCTAGAACCTCTTCTAAAGGACTTGCCTAATTATATTTAGTCCTGCTAACCAATGTGTCATTAGGATAAATATAAAAAGGAACTTCCTGTATTGAAGATGCGTTTGCACGGTGCTACTGAAAATTGCTTTTTTTTGTTTTGTTTAATTTCTTTATGGAATTTGTGAGGAGTCCTGATACATTTTATATCTATTATAAAGGGCTGTAGTTTTCTCCATGAGCATATTGAAAAATAATAGAAATGTTTGAAATGCACTATGCAGTTTGTTGATTTCATAAAAAATACTAATTTTTTAAATGCAGAGTTCATTGATTAAATGTCTGTTATTCTGCCAGGCCCCTGAGATATTCAGTCCTGAGAAAGCTTGGAAAGCTCTTGAGATAGCAGAGGAAAAGCTGCTTGGTCCACTGGGAATGAAAACGTTGGATCCAGAGTAAGCATATTAGAGATCATTATGTGTAGTATGCATAGTTTTAATCATGTAACCAGACTAACAGTAAAAAGTTCACTTTGATATGTTTCATTCATTAAGAATACCTCAAGAAATGCACTAGCTAATTACAGTATATAATATATTTATTTTAGTCAAGATTATTTAGCTGTTCTAAAGCCAGTTCAGATTCATTTAGTTATTTACAAAATCACCATTTTATTTACTATTTTGCTCCCATTAGAAGTTGGTCATTAAATTTTCAAAAACTTCTAATAAAAGTGGCAATACAGTATTAGTATTAGTATTAGTTTGAAAAAAGGCAGCACATAGAATGTTGAGCATAAGTTATGACAGTATTGTGACCAATATACTATAGTTATGGACTGAACATAGAGTTCGTAGTATTAATGCAATAGGTCTTGCATAAACTAACAACTGAAGAATATTAATGCTATAATTATCTTGTTAGGGCCATGATATAATGGTCCTTCCTTACTGTCTCCCTTGTGCTGTGCTGAGTACCATCTAACCATGTGAATTCATATTATTTTGAGTTATTTCTCTAATGCACTGCATAAATTTTATTTAACTTGTTGCCTTGTCTAAATCCTTTACTTTCTTACAGTGATATGGTTTACTGTGGAGTATATGATAATGCCCTGGACAGTGACCACTACAATGTTGCCAAAGGTTTTAATTACCATCAAGGACCTGTAAGCTTTAAAATTCCTGAGTTTCACATTAAATTAAAGTCTGTTGACATCTCAAATTGATAGCTATTATATTATCTCTTTTTGTTTAGGAATGGCTCTGGCCTATTGGATATTTCCTTCGTGCAAAGTTGTACTTTTCCAGGTTAATTGGTCCAGAGATGTACGCAAAGACTGTGGTTTTGATTAAGAATGTTCTCTCTCGCCATTACGTTCATCTTGAGAGGTAGGTCATCATACAGTTAAAATATTAATCCAAACTAGTGGTGTCCAATGTCCAGTTGCATATAAAAGATATAGAGACACACAAACTTTCTTCAAAAAATGTTTTTGAGCATTTAAGACATACAAAATAAGCACCAGTGATTTGGTGTTTTCTGAGTGTAAAAGTCACAACTATACAGTGTGCCATTTAAATCCTACATCAGCCTTCAAAATAGGCTAAACATTACTGCTTTTTTTTATCTGAAATATTTAATATCTGCCCTATCACAAAGTGAGAGCAATTTTAAAATCAGTCATGGAGAAGAATAAATAGAAAATATTTATTAAGAGAAAACAGAATTTGAGGTCTAAATTGCAAGACTACTTACAAAAAATGTGATGCAGAAGAAAAAATATGGATGTGTACTTTCAAAACTGCTCGAGCTATATTTTTCAACAGTCTGGGGGCTGATCACAACAGGTTAACTAATGTAAGGAAATAACCGTTAAATTGTATAAAATGGCATTACATAACTTCTGAAGTTGATTGGGTAGGTCACGTGAATGTGCCAATTAATCATTACTATAGAACTGCATTTCAGAAACTCATCACTTCATTGCACAATGGAAATATTACTTCATTAAGAAAACAAAGGCATTTACTCTCCTACAGTGCATATGGCCTTCCCTAATCTTCCCCCTGGTCTTTTATTCTCTTGTCCGCTCTTTAGTCCTTCCCTGTTCTTCCTGTAATATTTTTTCTCTATACACTTCTTCTTCTCCACTATAATTGTGAATAATTCCCATTTTCACCCCTCGCAAAGCATTTCTAGATATACAGAGATCCTTCAATATGCCACCCACCCAGTTTAATGGGTGGGAGACTTGATTGGACCTGCAACATTCTGGACAGTTTTAGAATAAAATGGGGGGAGTGTTCTCCCTCCCCATGTGTGCTCTGCCACCCATTGGCCAGCCAGAAGGAGATTGAAGTTAACTGACTCCTTGCTCCCCACCATTATCAATTCAAACCCTTGCATGGGGTTTCTCAAGCCTCTTACTCCATTTTATTTGAACCCACTCTTCCTTCCTGTAGTTATATAGAAGCATATAGTAGTATAAGAACTGTGTTTGAGGATCCTGTGGGTCTGACCAATTGCCTGTGTTAAGGAGAAGGAAGCAATTTTTCACATTGGGGCCAAATTAGCTGAGGCCTAGGAAGTTTTTTTTTCATAGCATCATGATGGCAGTTAGATTTTTTTAGGTGCTATTCCTATGTAACCTAAGATTAGGAATTTGTAGGAATGGTTAATTCATCATAGTTTACGGCTAGCGTCCAGCGCAGATGAAAGGCCAAAAGGACCAGCACCATCCTCAACCTCAAAATCCAATGACCAAACAAAAAGTAGAATTGGTAGTGCCGAAACTTGTGGCCTTGGGATGTCTGTGATAGGCAATCTGTAGCTTTATTTTCCTGTGTTATCGTTAATGTCTAAAAGCAGCTCTCAACGTTTCCTTTGGTTCTCAGATACTTTATTTCAGGGGTCGGCAACCTATGGTACGCGTGCCAAAGTTGGCATGCGAGCCGATTTTTCCTGGCACGCAGCGTGGGCTGAGCCGCCCACTCTGGAGTTCCCTGCCGGCTCCTGCGGGACCCGCCGCAGGTTCAACTCAGCACCCGCTGCTGGCCTGGGGGGAAGGAACCCCAAGCTGGCAGCGGGCTGAGACCCCGGCTGGCAGGAGCCGCTGGTGAAAACCCCAGAGCTGCGGCGGGCTGAGCCGCTCAGCCCGCCCCGCTCTGGAGTTCCCGCTGCCGGCTCCTGCCAGTTGGGGTCCCGTCGCAGGTCCAACTCAGCACCCGCTGCTGGCCTGGGGTTCCTTCCCCCAGGCTAGCAGCGGGCTGAGATCCCAGCTGGCAGGAGCCTGCAGCCGAAATCCCAGAGCGGGGTCGGCTTGAATTTGTCTGTATTTCAGTGGATGGGTGTTGAAGATTTCGAAATGCAACTCATTCAGTTAAAAAGTTCAGAATTGTGGACATCAAAGTTTGTGGATCTGCGGAACGCACTTGAAGCTACCAAGAGAGATCATGGGGCCTCTATTCTGACTTGCTGGACGTCCCTGCCAGTGAAATTTAACTGTTTGAAGAAAATTGCATTTGCAGTGCTTTCAGCATTTGGATCCACATACCTGTGTGAACAGGTATTTTCACACTTGAAATCTGTCCTCTGTCCCTCTCGGAGCCGGTTAACAACTGATCACTCAGAAGCCTGTGTGCAGCTTACAGTATCCAAATACGTGCCAGATATTGGAAAACTCAGCAAGGAAAAGCAAGGGCAAGGATCACACTAAACTGATAAGATCTGCATTTTAATTTAATTTTAAATAAAGCTTCTGAAACATTTTGAAAACCTTGTTTACTTTACTTTAAATATAACAGTAGTTTGGTTATATATAATAGACTTGTAGAAAGACCTTCTAAAAAGCATTAAAATGTATTACCGGCACGCGAAGCGTTAAATTAGACTGTATAAATGAAGATTCGGCACACCACTGCTGAAAGGTTGCCGACCCCTGCTTTATTTCATTCAGTTAATGGAAAAACTGAAGGGAGAAGTGAAAAATAGAAGTTTATTTAAAACAACTAGACTTACCATTTAATTTGGGAATCTTATAACAGCTTGAAATACACTTTCATAAATAGCATGGATAAAAACACCAGTCAGGCTAGTAAGAACCTTATGTGCATGCACAAAATCATGCTGATTGTATTATTTCAGTCGCACTGCAAAGATAAGCTGTACTTCTCAGGTTATTGAAGGCTCCCCCGCCTGGAGTCTCAGGAAGCTCCTGCAACATACGCATGTTTTAGTATTACCGTGTACCTTGTCATATGTTAATGCTCTCTTATTTTTATTTCATTGTGTTTGGCATTTCTTCTTTTGTACACTTGGCTTAATTGACTCATACTTTTAAAACATGTTAGAAGTATAATCCTACAAGAGAAATGTTCTTTTAATTTGTTATGAAATATAGTATAATCATATTTTACACTGGGATTTTTTAATATATTTTTTTTTTTTTTTTGGTCAGGTCATCCTGGAAGGGGCTTCCAGAGCTGACAAATGAAAATGGGCAATATTGTCCATTCAGCTGTGAATCACAAGCCTGGTCAATTGCTGTTATCCTTGAGGTTCTTTATGACTTGTAAAAGTTGGCTTTGATTACTTGGTAAAATTTGCTATGTACTTGTATTCAAAAGGTACAAATGAACAGTTTGCTCATACTGTAGTGAAAATGTTTTGCACAGTCACTTAAATAACTATGGTCTGATTTTTTTTCCAAAGGTGCTTAGTATCTGTATCTCCCATTCACAGAAGAGGTATTTAAGAGTGCTGCTCAGCACTTCTGAAAATCAAGTCATTAGTATGAATATATATACACTTGATACAGAAAAGCTTATAAAGCAGCAGCTTGGAGAATGTACACAAATGCATTTAAAATAGCTTTTGATTTGTAGACATACTAAATTAAACTATATCCTGTATAGAAAGATGTTAAAAGAATAGTCTAGTTCCAAATTAGAATATGAATGCCAAGTGGTTCCAAAAATCTGAGTTTAAACTCATGGGGTTCTCTTTTCCATATTTTCTCTTAGTCAGTAGATGCTATGCACGCTCATCATGGGGGAGAATAGATTGTACAGGTATAGGTAGTATGATGTGTTTTCTGCTGCAGTCATGCATTTCATAGATTGCACTTTCATTAGTGTTTTGTCCCTCTGTGATGAACTGTGTGGCTTTTCCTAACAATTTCTTCTCTTCCGTGTTCAACTGAACACTCCATTAAAAAAATAAAGTTTTCACTCTTTACAGATAATGGTAGTAAATTAATATCTTCACAAACTTTAAATGAAACTTGAAGACTGTAATTCTGAGCAATGACGTGGATGTATCCTGTGTGAGATACTCTATAGGTTATTTTTTGTGTTGTGGACCATATGGCCAAATTGTATTTCTTGAATTTAATTTGGTTTAAAATAATGTACATCTGTCAACAAATTTGTTCCACCAGTAGGAAACCAGAAGAAACACTTTATCATGCAATGGCCTGTACATATATCATGTGAGGTCAAAGGATCCAGGAGCCCACAGGGTTGGGTGCTGACTTAATGATGAATTTGAAAGAATTGTAAATTTATTTCAGCCCTTGCTTCGAGTAGTCTTCTTCCCTGGGGGGTGAAATTCTGGCTCTACTGAAGTCAATTGAAAAACTCCTTTTGACTTCAGCGGGGTCAGGGTTTCACCCCAGTTGCAGAAAGGGGGCAGTCTGATTCCAAAGTCTTCGGATGTGATGCTAATAAGAGCAAGGGTACTGACAGCTGCCTGTTGCTATTCTTCCCTTGAATGTTACTTCCATAAAAGCATTTGTTCTGTAATATACAGACACACACACACACCTTTACCTGATCTCAATCCAACCTTTTCAAAAATTTGGGTACATGGATGGAGTGGGAAATGTATCCATTTGAATCTTCTGTCCGTCCCTAAAATAATGAATAGACAACAGCTAGATTGACCAGTAATGTCCTCAACATCACAAAAGGAAGTACAGCATTACATTGTAGAAGAAATGGGCTGACAATACAGATTGAAAATACAAACCTGCCCTCCTACTTATTGTTCTGTCGTTCATATATATTTTACATTCATGTTTTAAAATTTACCCAACACATTTAAAATGTGGTGTTGGCACATATCTACTTACTTCATGAGAATATACAGTTACAGGTGTATTTAAGAACAAACTGCTGAGAGAAGCATTTAGGCAAGCGGATTAAAGCTAAAAGTCCAGTGCAGTTTTATTTGTGATGGATTTCAGAGATTTATTTTCTAGAAGCCAGAGTTTAATTTTGTTCAGGTTATCATTTAAATTTATGGTACTTCATTGATTACAGTTGCACTACTCAGATCACTTGGTCATATTCACTTCTTTAATCTAACCACTGTTTTTTATTTGTGTGACATGCTAGTTCGGGTACATGAGGCAATATCATGCTTTCCCGATATAGAGTTTTTAGTTGAATAGAACTCATAGTTTAGTAATTGGTTATAGGTCACTCTGTATTATTAGTGTGTTGTTCTTAAATTTTTATATAATTGACTTTCCTTAATATGGGTTCAAATAATTGGAAGTGATGCTTAAAGGAAATTTCTCGTTCAGATTTTCTATTGTGCTCAGGTTGTGAGCAGTTTGAAATGGATTCTTTAGGAAACTTTGTCTTCTAGCCTGACAGATTGCATAAGAGATGAGACAAAAACGTAAGTTGAAAGGAAAATGATTCATTGTTCTGTTATTTAAAGAATATCTCATTCTTTATACCTTTCGTAATCAGGATTTCAAAATTAGGATCCAGATTATTTTCATTTTCAAGTACAGTTTTTTGATTAACTGTATTTGTTGAAAAGTCAGCAACACCCAGTAAAGGAACATATATATGCAGTCATAAATCAGCATGCTATTTTACGTGTTTCTGTGTGCATTTGAGGAAATTCAGACAGTTTTATTGTTGAAACATTTAATAATGATACATAAGGAACGTAAGAAGTTATTGCTTTCCCATAAAATTATGGGTTTATTTCTAGTTTAGCTCTTCATTACTGTGGGTAGAATTGGAAAGTGTACAGTGGGATAACTTTGGGGGAGGGGGATTTATTCAGTAAGGCTCTCTTGAAATTGGAAAGAAGTTTGAAGAGCTATTGTTCTAAATAGATTGGGATTATATTAACTGCAATAACAATCTCTAAATGTAAGAAATATCTGGGAGAAATAATGCTTCAAAACTTTCCATTCTATCATGGCTAACTTTAAAAAGTTTTGTGAATTGAACTGTTGACATGAACATAATACACATTTCTCATTGCTAGTTTATTTTTAACATAATATTAAAATATTTAAAAAGAGAAATCACAGAGATGTACACAGATATATACATTATGCTCATTATGAATTTTGCAAATAGATGCATGTTTAAAATGCTATTTCTGCACTGATTAACTAAATGTAATTCTAGTGACATATATACTTTTAAGAATAAAGTAGGTAAAATTATATATTATGGGCTGGTTTTGCCCATGGAAACAAGAACAGTTAGATTTTAAATTACTATTCAATTCTTCTTGCTTTGATCTCAAACACTTTCGATGCTTTTGGTCAGACTGGACAACTTAAGAATGAAGTGAGGAAGTCATAGGCAACATTTCTTGAATTTTCCTGTGAACATATTAAAAATGAATAGTGTATGACTTATATTTAATTTTGGGGGGTAGAGGGAAGAGAGAAGAACTGTTGATCTAACATTTTATTTTGTTGGGCTTCAGCACCAAGTAAACTGTATACAGCCCAAAAAACAACAAGGAGTCCGGTGGCACCTTAAAGACAAACAGATTTATTTGGGCATAAGGTTTCGTGGGTAAAAAACCTCACTTCAGATGCAGTGAGGTTTTTTACCTACAAAAGCTTATGCCCAAATAAATCTGTTTGTCTTTAAGGTGCTACCGGACTCCTTGTTGGTTTTTGTGGATACAGACTAACATGTCTACCCCCTGATACTGTATACAGCCAAGTTATAAACACCTTTAAAAATAGCTGGCTGTAATGTAGAAATGTTGACTGATCCTGAACCATAGTGACACTAACACCGTGGTATAATATACTGTAAAACTTAATCACTCAAACTTACGGTCAGTTAAATACTTATTTTTGTAGGTAAACTGAATGTGAACTTTGTACCTCTACCATGTACCAATCTGTTTCTTGGTCTGTATGCTATGGAGCAGAGACCTACTGGCATTGCTTCACCAGATCTTTTTTGTCAATTCAAGTAATGTGCATTATTTCTAATGTTTTCATTCTTTTAATAAGTTTTTACTGATCAAAAATGGATAATTTGAGAAAATATTTAAAACAAGGAATCATTCTAGTACTGCATGTTGTAATATAAAATAAAAAGATTGAGTCTGTCTAGCATAGCAACTACTGAATTTAGAAAAATGTAATTCTTCATTTGTCTGTGAAGAGCATAAAATAAAAGTATTTAACAAAGTTGTGTTTTTCTTACTTTTGTCACTGGAGTTCCACAACAGTAATTTTTAGATCTTAAACTGTTAATGGAAAATCTTTTTTACAATTGTTGCTGTTTGAAAATCTTGAAATCCTCTTACTTAACAGCAGAAATGAACTGCTTATTTCCATTGTTTAAGCTGAAGATATAAAGCATCATTCTGTAGTTCACTTTTTTCACACATAGCTACGTATGAATATCTAGCTAATGATGACCCATTATGCCTATGTGCTTAAGTGAATTAAGTCTGAATCCAAATATCTAAGTTGAAACAACACTATTACAAATTACCAAAAAACAATGAGGATAGCAGTCTGTAACATACGCTGTTGTAAAACCCTTTAATGGACACATCTTCACCATGTAAGTTGCTGTGTGAAGTCTCAAATGGTAAATGAAGGTGTTGAACTTCAGGTTCTTTTGCCAAGGAAGAAAATACCCAGTCACATAAGCTTTTGACCTAAAGAAAAGAAGATTTCCACTAAAATGAAGTGTAGGAATTGTGTGGTTGGTGAAACTAATTTCTCTTTGGGTTTTTGTTTCTGATACAGGTTAGATGAACCTTCTGAGGTCTTTCCCTAAAACTAAGCAAGATTACCATAAGGTAATTAAGCTAAATTGGGAGACAGTTTTCTTTATATCATGACTTCTGCTAGAATGTGAGAATCCAGGAAATATTGTACAATAGTCTTATACCAATAGTCAAAACATATTACTGTGTATGAATTGGTGTCCAGTTACTAATACAGTTTTTCAAGAGCACAATTATTAACTAGTCTTTTCATATATAGAAACTTGTGATTCAAATCCTAAATCACAAGTAAATGGAAATAAGACTACATGAAACATGTGCCATTGGTTTATCTTGCATTTCAGCCTTATTTCTCAGCCCATCAGAAAGATGGTTTTCCAAAGCTTTGTGAGGTAAAAGTCACTATCTCCATTTAGTAAACTCTAACAGAGAAGTGGAGGGGCAAAGGAATGGAAGCAGAATCCCTTTTTAAGGTTGATGAGAACCTCACCGTTTTGGTTCCTGACTGAAGCTAAATATCAAGAGGGTTTTGTCTTTTCTTTTTCTTTTCTTTTTTTTTTATTATTTTTGAGCCATCTATGCAGACTTAGTTGTATCACCTTTAGGCATTGTCCAGTAAATGTACTTCCTTTCTTGAATATTTCCCAACCTGTGAACTGTATCCTGCTAGATGCTGTGCATTGGTTTCTTTAACTATACTTCGCAGTTCTTCTGGAAGATAGCACAAATGACCATTTGCTTCTGAGAGTATTTGCCTCTCACTTTGTCTTTTGCTTGAAGGGCACGCAATAGATATAATTTATTTAAAAAAATTTGACCATTGAATTTTGTATTTCTCCTTCTCCCTTTTCCCTCTTTGCCCCCTACACCCTTCAACAAAATACCCCTCTGCCCCTCAAAAAAAAAAATACAATGTGTATAATTGATTTATATGTGTAAGTTTTGTATTGTTGGCTAAAGTTTGGGCATACTACTCATAAGGGCAGATAACTTTTTATTGCACATTTGAATATACAGGTAGTGGTTGAGAGTGGCTTACAGTATACATAATATGTAAGTGACTATAATTAGAACCAAATGTAAAAATATTATTCTTTGGTCCTTAATGATGGAAAAATTGTATGGCATGGCAAAAGCTTTGCCGCGAGTACTTTCTTTTGAAGAGGCAAAAAAAAAAAGATACCTAATCTCTTTTTTATCAGCTATAAATACTAGAGATCTTTT